TCAATCCCTGGTTCCACCAAAAAAAAAAAAAAAAAAAATAGAAAGAAAGAAGAACAGAAGAAAGAAAGAACAAAAGAAAGAATGAAAAAAAAGAAAAGAAAAGAAAGTTTTTTAAAAAGCATTAATAATGACACAAAATTCCATTAAACAAAGTAATAGGTGGACTTTTTCTTAACGAATAGAGCTTATCATTTCAAGAAAAAGAATTGACAGTATATTAATAATGACAAATCAAGGTCTCAAGAAAAAAATTCAGATTAGAAAAAACATGTATCTACTGTACACTAGACAGTTTCCAACCCACAGAGACTCTCCTGATGAGCTCCACGATAGTACTCAGAACTTTTCATACCATAAAATAAAACACGTCTCCACTTGGGAGAGCTGGGTAAATCAGGGAACTGATTTAAAATATATGATCCATTTGTGTACAAGGTACACCAAGGGACCCTGGCATGGTGGTGCACACCTACAACCCCAGTGCTCTGGGAGGCTGAGGAAGAGGAGCCCAATTTCAAGTCCAGTCCAGGTAGCAGAACAACTTAGTGAATCCATGCCTCAAAAGAAGAAAACAAAAAAGCTCAGTGCAAAGAAGACCCTAGGTTCTTTCCCCAGTACCAAAGTCAATCAATTAATCCACACCAATGGCCTTTCAATTTTCTTTTTTTTTTGTAGTACCAGGATTGCACTCGGGACCCTGTGCTTGCCAGGAAGGTGCTTAAACTGCTGCGCTATATCGCTGGCCCTCACACCAATGGATTTTAAAGTCACAAAAACGAAAAATTTATTCATACTCCACACGGTGGTTAATCTTAAGGAAACAACTACCTTTCAAGTTAAAATATAGTATACAAGAACACCCATAATTGGGGCCGGGGAGATGGCTCAGTAGAATAAGTACTTCCCTGGCAAGAGCAAGGGTTTGAGTTCAATTCCCAGTTCCGCAAAAAAAAAAAAAAAAAAAAAAAGAACGAACACCCATAATTATCTGCCAAGGCTATTAGAATAGTCCCTCCGGGGCAGGAATATAGCTCAGTGGTGCAGTGCCTCCTTGGCAGGCATGGGGTCCTAACTTTAATTCCTGGCACCAAAAAATAAAATAAAATAACTCCCTCCTTCCTAAACCACAATCTGTATGAGGCCCAACTTTCTTCATGCCCTCCAATTAAAACCCTATACTGGGCCAAGGAGACAGCTCAGTAGAAAATGTGCTTACCTGGCAAGCACAGGGTCCTGAGTTTAATCCCTGGTACCGAATAAATAAATAAATAAACCTGTACTGTCCAACCTTGAATAGAGAAGCAGATAGAAGAACTTAGCTGTCTCACCAGACATAAAAAATTTGGCAAGAGGCCGGGAAGATGGCTCAGTGGAATCAGCGCTTCTCTGGCAAGTACAAGGGCCTGAGTTCAATCCCCAGTTCCGCAAAAATAAATAAATAAATATTTTTAAATAAATAAATAAATAAATAAATAGGCAAAAATGTAAAACAGGGGCTGGGGAGATGGCTCAGTGGAATAAGCGCTTCCCTCGCAAGCACAAGGGCCTGAGTTCAATCCCTGGTTCTGCCAAGAACAAAACAAAACAAAAATGTAAAACAATGTCTCTTCCCTCAATAATTTTGTTTTAAAAAGTTATTTTTCATTAAAAATGTCACTTGTATCACAGAGCCAGGTGTGGTGGTGTATGCCTGGAATCCCAGTGCTTTGGGAGGCAGAGGCAGAAGGATTGCAAGTTCAGGCCCAGCATGGCAATTTAGCGACTTACGAGACTGTCTAGCCAAGTGTGGCGGCTCAAGCTTGTGGCCCCAGCACCAGCAGGCTGGGGCAGGAGGATCACCTTGAGTTCAAGGCCAGCCTGAACTACATAGGGAGACCCTGTCTCAGAAGCCCACAACAAAACTTTCTTCTAAGGCCTGATCCAAGATCCAGTTTCTTTAGGGACAAAGCCAGCCCTCAGGGACAATCTGCTCATCCAAACTTGTACCCTCTAGAGAGGACCATGCTCTTAACACCACCCAGCTTTCTCTTGGCGCAGGTCTCCTCTCCGCTGCTAGGTTCCTCAGCTCTGGAGGAAGGTGGCAGCCAAAGCTCAGGTCTGACACATTTGTCACAACACTTGGCCCCCAGTAGCATCCCAGGTAAGAAGACAAAGATGGCAACAATCATGACTTCTGCAAAGTAACAAAAACAAAATACAACTATAAAAGGTGATAACCATACCCTTGTCAGAGGCAACTAAGACAACAACACACAGGAACGGGGAGCTCAAAGCTCAAAAATGAACCAGACAGCCAGGCACGACGACACACATCTGTATTCCCAGTACTAGAGGAGGGGGGCCAGGGAGATGGCTCAGTAGAATAAGCACTTGCCTGGCAAGCGCAAGGGCCTGTGTTCAATCCCCAGTTCCACCAAAAAAAAAAGAACTAAAGGAGGCTGAGGCAGGAGAATCACTGAGAGTTTAAGGCCTGCCTGGGCTACACAGTAAGCTCAAGGCCAGCCTGAACTGTATACCAAGACCCTGTCTAAAAAAAAAATACAAAACAAAACAAAATGAATCTGACATAAGGAAAATCAGTTGGCTTCAGGACTCTCCCTGCCTACCCTCTGGGGAACTCAGAAGCCTCCGCCCTCTTCTTCCTCCCTCGCAGTCCCTACAGAGGAAGGGTCCCTGCCTGCAAGATCCACAAACACCCTGAGCCCCGACACTGGACAGACCCAGGGCTCGCCACCCTGTCTCGCAACAGGAAAAGCCACAGGGTCTTAGAGCAGAGCAAGGGAAGTGTGGCCCACAAACAGCTCCCTGAGCCACCAACTTCACAAACTTCAGAGATGAAAAGCACAGGAGGCCGAGTTTCCTGGCCCCAGCAGGGACCTACAATGAATATCAGGTCCCCTGGAGTTACTCTTCTAAGACCCTCTGGCATCCTGAGGACACGGCATTGTTCAGGCTGGGGAGGACTCAGCAGTGCAACAGAGACTGTGCAGGAAACCATGGCTGGGGAGGCAGGAGCTGAATCTGCCTTTCACTATCACCATTGTCCCAGTGCCTGGTTGTGAAGGATGCTCAAAAATACCTACTTCATAAATAAAAGGGAGGGGGCCGGGGTGATGGCTTGGTGGAATAAGCACTTCCCTGACAAGCGCAAGGACCTGAGTTCAATCCCGGTTCTGCCAAAAAAAGAACCCGTGTTACTATTTTGACTCATCCACACGGCTGACACTGACAAAGGTTCTATATAATCTGAGGTACAGGATCTCAGCATAAATCCTGAGGGCATTTCACTGACCTCCTCAGATCAAAAAGCTACAACTCTTGTTGCACAGGTTCTGCTTTACCTTGGTCTTAACCATCCAGTAGAAAAGTATGAAGACGGGGGCTGGGGAGATGGCTCAGTGGAATAAGCACTTCCCTAGCAAGTGCAAGGGTCTGAGTTCAATCCCCGGTTCCACAAAAAAAAAAAAAAGAAAAGAAAAGTATGAAGACGAAATATAGGAAGTAAAGCCATGCTGTTATGTTGAGCTGTGGGGGACTCAGGTCAATAATTTCTGACATTGCCAGTTAAACAGAAGACCCAATAGTATTATGGGCTACAGGACTCTTTTAGAATATTTTGCTGAGTTTACACACCTATAATATTCAATAACGGAACTTAAAAAAAATGGGGTATAACTATGAATGTCCATTTTGTATCTGTGTATTCAAAGTGGTTGGGATAGAGATATAGTTGCATTTTCTTAATGAATAGAATGATTTTTTCTAATGGTGTTTGTAAGTAGGATCACAAATCTGCATCTTGTACAGCAATTAACCACTAAGAAGAATATATGCAGTGTATTATTTGTTGAAACTATACTTTCGATTTGATTTGAAACTGTCTCATTGCTATATGTTTATCAATAAAACTTTGAAAAGAAAAAAAAATAAATAAACAAAACCCCCCCCAAAAAATTAAATAAATAAATAAATAAATGGGAATGTTGGTCAGCTTCTTGGTGGCCTGGCATCCTAGGTACCCACACGACAGAGACGAAAGTTTGTTCAATTATTTGTTCAACAAACACAACACCAGGCATGGTGGCACACACCAGAAAGCCCAGCACTTAGGAGGCTGAGGTAGAAGATAGATGTGAGTTTGATGCCTGCTTGGGCTACATAACAAGCTGAAGTCGGAACTGCATAGAGAAACTCTGTCTCAGAAAGACAAAAGGGAAAAAAGCCCCAACATTTACTTAACATCTCTTCTGTGCCTGGCAGTCTTTTAAACACAACAGGAGAAACAATAAGCTTTTGGCCTCTTGGAGTTTATTTATTAGTAACTGCAAAGATAGAAAATCTCCGTACTTCTGAACAACCTATGAGAGCCACAGACATTCAATAATTATTTAATGTGTAAGCGATAAACAACAGGTACCAATGCTGACAAAAATCTGAGATCTGGAACTCAGCCCCAGAGATGATTTCAGTTCCAAGATGTGGACCCTAAATGCGTGCCTGTGACAGGCAGCCACCAGAGGTCCCTGTGCAGCAGAAGCGGCCTTACCTCTAGGGTGCATCTGTCCTCATCTGTCCGTAAGCAGAAGCCGCTGGGGGGGTGCCGGGCGCATGCCCCAATCACTGCACGACACTGCAGGGTAGAAAGAGACCCAACATCCTGAGCTGAGGGGCTCCAGAGGCCTCTAAAGCAGCTCTAGGAAGTTAAGCTCTCCCACTCCCATCCTGAGAGCGCCTTCAGAGCCAGTGGGCAGACTTTGCCCAGTGCTCCAAGTAGGCTGTGTGCCTCCAAGCAAGCAGTCACTGGCTTGGCTGACTTTACCAGGGAGGGGCAGAAGGAGCTGGTCAGGTAAGGAAGGGTGGTGCCCAGCCCTGCCATGGGTGGCAGCTCCTAAATGCCTTGAGTCATACTTGGTTCCTAGCAGAGCCCCACTGACACGACCAGAGTCACACTCCTGTCGAGCCTGCTGGGTTAGGAAGGCCAGGAGCCACCTCTCAGGGAAGAAGGTTCCTGTCGAAACCTGACGCAAGGGGCCATGCTCTCCCTGCCAGCCTCACGCCAAGTACCCAGCTCTCCTATCACAGCCCAAAATCCAGCCGCTGCCAGCCACTCTTCTCCTGCCTCCCAAACAGAGAAAGTTAGGGACATAAACCATCTCCAAGAAACAGCCACCAGCAACCTGAGACTTCGTGTCACACAAGGTCACTGGGCACAGGGCTTCAGCCGTAACACAAGCCAGGCCTGGCAGGACAGGGTCCATAGAGATGCAGGCTGCTAGTATGTCCGGGCCTCCTAGGCAAGAACACCACAGCTGAGCTTCCTGGGCTGCAGGGACTGCCCAAGGAGGTGGTCCCCAGTGGCAGGACAACCTGGAAACCTTTAGAAGTCGTAGGTCCAACTAGTCCTGAGAGGTGGGCTGTACTGATCTAGGACATGTCAGGATCCTTGGGCCTGAGGACAGCTGGCACCACAACCAGGCATGCATCCCACCCAAAGCGGAGCCCACCAGCTTCCTGGGACCTTAGGGAAGAGAACTGGGGACTGCAGGAGAGGCTGGAAGTCCGGGAGGGTGGGCTGGGCAGAACCAAGAGAGCAGGGGTGGGGAGGTAAGGAGAAAGGGCAGTCATGGAGCTGACACCTTTAGGAGAGTACTGTCAGGGATCGCTGTCTGCTCACACCTTAGAAATATGGCCAAGCACTGCAAAAACCACTGAAGGGGTCCCTGGTCATGGATAATCATAACTAACCCCAGGGAAGACCACACAGGGGACAACTGCGAGACATAATCCAGCCAGAGGTGCTGGGGTCCCAATTACTCTATAAGGGCTAGGCTTGCCCGGAGCTCAAACCCTCTCACCTGCCACCTGAGCAGAGCCAACAAGTGAGCAAAGAGACAGGACCAGCAAGCTGAGAGAGGTGGTGCACACTTGTAAACCTAGCACTGTGGGAGGCTGAGGGAGGAGGATCAAAAGTTCAAGGCTAACTTGGGCAATTTAGCAAGACTCCCAAAACACAAAATAGAAAAAGGGTGGAGATATAGCTCAGTGCCAAGGTCTTAAGTTCGATATATCCATAGAAACAAAGCTGCTTCCAGTCCATTCTTTTCAAATCCCCCAACGTGCTGCACAGAGGGGGCTTGGGGAGCAGTGTGAAGGGGACCCATTTGACAATAGGTCACCCACAGTCTTACTACCTTCACAAAAGAATGACAATAGTGCCAGGCTTGATCAAGCTCATTCACAGCTCCTAAAGGTTGGCAGTGCTGGTGCCAATACTGTGGCCCACTCGGGCTCAAACACAGAGTGTGATCCTCAAAAGAGGACCCAGCAAAACGATGATCCTGCGCTTCTCTAAAGGAGAGTGGATCTTGCTTTCAGATCCCCAAGACCAGAGCCACAGCCTCCGCAGGCAGGTATCAACCCAACGCCCCAGGCCCCACTGGGGCACAGGGAGCAGACCCGCAGTGTCAGCCTCCCTCTCGGAGCCACAGGAAATTCAGCTCCCTAGGAGAAAAGAGAGAGAAGAGATTCCTGGAGAACCAGTTCAGTGAGTATCATCAGAAGTGCATTCAGTCACTGCTACACAAGAGAAAATCAGCCACCAATAATAAAAGAGACACACGCTGATAGCCCTAGGGCTAGCAGGCCAGCAATCTATTTCAAAACTCTAGTAATAGAAAAAAGAAAAACACAATGTTCTGGAGCCAGCACAGAGGGAAAAGGTGGAGGACTACAGGCATTCTTTGGGGCATAGTTTTTGGGAGATTTTTCTTAGATCTCTGGGACAGGGACAGTGTGAAAGGTGTCGCCAGCACAGAGACCATCATAGTTTCAACGTGCTCCATATAACATATCCCAAGTGAAAAGACACTGATCCTGTTTCCTGGAAGAGCTGGATGAGGCCTCTGGCTACCCCTGGCACACACCCAACGCCGTGCAGTCTCTCCCCAAGGGTTCCTGGAAGTCAACAGACTCATAAAGAGGAAGTATTAAAGCTAAGATTAGAAGAATGGCCTACAAATTGGACACTATCCCTGACATACACCCCAGGAAATTTCCTCACAGAGGCACGTAGGACCTGGCATCTCAGACAGCCCCTGCCACCTGCGGCCCGACACGCCCACCCTGGTCCTCGGGCACCTCAACTACAGGGCAGACGATAGCGGAACACAGCGCGGAACTCCGGCCGCCCCTGAACAGAGCCAAGAAACTGGGAGGAAAGGGAGGTGGGTGAAATAGTGGGGACAGAGAGGACTGACAGAAAGGAAATGAGACAGGGGCAGAGACAGGGCCCCGCAGGTAGGCAGGGTGGAGAGGCTTAGGTAGTAACAGGGGCTGAGGGCACGGGACAGAGAAACTTCCCAACACCCGAGCAGCAGGGGAGTGAGCAGGAGGCGACAGACACGCGGAGAGCGAGGGGAAGGAAGCAAGCAGGCTGCGGGTAAGGATGGGAGGATGGAGGCAGAGGAGAGATCTACAGAGACCCCAGAGGGAGAGGCGAGGATCTGGGGACCCCAGAGAGGGGCGGGGGAAGAAGCCAAGGAGCAGACGAGGACCTCAGGGCAGGGACCCAGCTCTCGGAGGAGCGGGAGGACGAGGCCGCGAGGCCCAGCGGCGGGGGAGGGGGGCTGGGACGCGCGCCGACGGGGGTGCAGCAGCCGCGCGTGGGGCGCAGGCCCGGGGTCCCGGCAGCTCG